AGTGTGTGTGAGTGAAACTTTGAGTGTGTATGTTTGAGTGTGAGTGAATGAATGTTTGAGTGTGTGCATGTTTGAGTGAATGTGTGTTTGAGTGTGTGTATGTTGGAGTACGTTTATGTTTGAATGAGTGAGTGTGAATGAATGGTGAGATCCACTGACCGAAAGCTAGTGTTTTAATAACACGCATCTCAAAAGTAAAAATGGCAATTTCATGATTAAGTAAATATGATTAAGTATAGGCTTAAAGCTGAGACCATATGTATTCTGATATTCCCGGAAATTCCTTTTCACAAAAAATGTCATCCACTTATTAGGTTTCCGCGTTATAAGACAAGTACATAGGGACTGACAAACAACCGATATTGTAATTAACAAAGACTAATAGACAAGTCATTAATGAAATGTTCCTCCCATCTTTGCTGATCTAATGACAGAGACTGCGTCGGTGCACATTTCTCTCAGTGGCTAGAGTGAGCTGCACGCTGAAATAGTGTAGTTTAAACGTGAATCCACCTCCAAGCTGCCCACTGTCCGCCCTGGTTTCCACACACAAGTGCTCTTTTCTGAACTGTACAGAGCCCTATCGGAGCCCATCGCGCAGTCCCACGCATCCCAATAAAACAACCTTGGAGACAAACTTCGATTGACTTAAGGATTGATGAAAGGAAATAAAAGTCCCCAACAGGCGGAGGCCCAGTGATAGGGATAACATGAGATTAGTGACTGTTAAGGCCTCAGACCTCCAGACAGAAACCAATTTCATTCCCAGTGTTTACACGTTCTGAGGCTGTGCTTAACAGGGATCTGCTAAAAACTAATGTTTTTCTACAATTTGATACATTTGCTTACAACTGCCTATTTCGAACGTATCTTGCGCATTTATCTTCTTTTGGATAAAGAGAGTTTGTGTATATTAAATGACAAAAAAAGCCGGAGTGGATTAGAAGAATTAATTTACCCGTTTATATCCCAGAGAGGAACCAAACCCGGAGACTTTCCAGTTGCTGTGTGTGCTTTTGGTTAAAGTCTTAAACAATCAGGTGCAGAACTTTTGCAATCAAGCTCGATTCGCTTTGTCAGGACTAATATTCGCCTAAGGAAGGGGTGATTTCCTTACAGAGTAGGATGTGAGCTGCAAGGGCAGCAAAACCTGCGGAGTTTGACCTCAATGTATGTGTACGAGCGAATGTGTTGCCAAACTGATTATAATTAGTGGAAGTCTTCACTGCGTATGGGGGTGGAGTTGCGGCTGACACATTTAAATAAATATGGATATCCCTGAACCTTTGATGGCCGCTTGCAGATTATTAAAGATGGATTAGAACACGCTTGAAAATATGTTTTCAAAAAGCAAATAAAATCATCAACTGAACCTGGTGAAAAGCCAGTGTTTTGGTGCAGTTACGGGATTTACATAAAACCCGCGCACTGAGCATTCGAAGCTCCTTTGTAGTCTAGGAAATCATTGGCCGGAATGATACACTCACTCCGACCTCTGAATAATTAAAAGGTGGCGAATAATTACCGTACAAGATTCTAATTATTGTGGGGATGGGTGGGGGAGTGGTGGTGGGAACGTTGTGGGTGTAGAAAGCTGAAACGAAACACAATACTGTCTCAGCTTTACGTCGATGCTCCTTTACTCAATAAATTTTGCATTTGCTTCATGTCCCCTGAGTCAGTATCAAACCCGCGACGTCAGTTAACCAAATAATAGTTTTGTGTTTTTTTTAAACAAAGAAAGGAGAGTTAAACGTCGTCTATTTTACATCGGAACAAATTTCAGATATTCTGGTTCGTGATGTCAAGTGGAAAAGGTTGAGCTGCTTTCTGCACAAATTGAAACTGCTTTCTTGCTCCTGAAATTTTCCTGTCTGGATGCTGGTGTATAAGATACATATGGCGTGAAGAGCTGCTGCCAACGCTTGCTTTAGTTCAACGCGAGTCTGCTTAACAAAAGTAATAGCTCCGGGCAGTTTCATGGACGTTATTAAGTTCTGTTTGATTAGTGTAACTGTTCAAATTTGAATCCAGACAGTATGATTAATTACAGTTTAATTAACGTGTCCATTAAGAGCGATAAACGGCGTCATGTTACAAAAACAAAAAAGAGAAGACAACGCCTAAAGATAGATAGATAGTGCGTTCTACAAAAAAAGGCGTTCAAATCTATAGTCTTCGATAAAACGAAAGTAGATTAAATGATGAGGTTGTTTTACGAGCTGATTATCTTCATCTCATAATTTTGCTGCCCGGAGTTTTTTTTTCTCCCCAAAATCAGGAAGTTTCATATTCTGATAAATATACATATGGATATATACGACCCCCTTTCTTGGATCTTTCTCTCTACATAACACTTTGACACTATTAACGAGGTGTTTCCAGATGCTTCCCTATAAAATGACTTTGTCTCCACTTCGGTAAAAAAAATTCACAGTGTGGCCCTTTCTTAAAAAAAACAATGTTGCGTTTCGCACACTCTTTAGAACCCAACTGAAATTGGACCTTTAAACAGGTAATAATTTCTGGAGAATTTATCTGGAAGTCGAGAAGATGATGGCAGACGAGAGCCATTGATAGCACAGTCATGTCCCCAGCAGGGCTAAATGATGGTTATTGATCAGGTTATAAATAGTTAATAGAGCCAGCATTGTGTTACACCACTTACGGCAGAATATTGCACAAATACATCAGAGTGTTTATGTACACAGAACATCAGCCTTTACCACACGTCGCAGTCAGGCTTGCGTTTAAAACCACATTAAAGAAATGAAGACGGCACATAATTTTCAACTGGTGAACTAAGTTAGATCCCACAGTAATTTTAATTGCGTGGTTCCCAATTTCCACTAGGGCAAACAAACTTTAGGCAAGGCGATCCCCTGGTCGTAACTTCCCGAGGCCGTTTCATGAGCTTGTTCATGAGCAATCAGAGTGACACTGTCCAATTTAATTCCAACAGGACGGAGCAAAGCGTTGATGCTGCACCAACTAACAAAAGACGGATCTCTCCTAAAAGTTTCGCCAAGGGCACAGCTCAGGCAGTGCGGTCCTGGGGCTGATTCTGAATGCCACGTGCGGTCAATTTATTTCACAAACAAAAAAAAATACAATCACTACACTCTGGTTTTCAGATTCGTAATTATCCCCTTGTAACGTCATTAGCAGATACAAATCGGACCAATTTCATGGTGTCTATTCCTTGAGACATCAATTGATATTCCGCTTTAAACAAATAAATAAGCGCCCCGATCTCCAATAAGACTGGGCCTGTCTACCCCTCTCTATCATGTTCTCTCCTACTCTTTTCTTGCTATATTTTGCACCATCTCTCCCTCCGTCTCTCTCACACTCTCTTGCCCTTTACCTTCCTGTTTCCAACTGCACTATGTTGCGAACTCTGTCTGTCTTTCTTTAATCGCTGTGTTTGTTTAGCGATACTTGAACGCCAGAAAATGTAGAAATTAATATTTTTAAACTTGGAGGCCTTCTAAGTGTCTGTGCTGGCGCTAATTCGAACTAGTTAGTGTGACGCTCAAACCCTTCATTCTAAAACACCTTGACTTAAACCGGGCTCCTGGCTCGACAGCAGTGGGACCTTTTTTGAGTTGTTGAGATAAATAGTTGTCACTTCTTTCTGACGCGAATTCATTGAACGTAACAGAATAAAAAAAACACAGCTACGTGCTTGGTGGTCGGAAGCCTTTGATTATTTGAAATAAACAGGAAGAGGAAGAGAAAAAAAAGGAAACAAATAAAAGCAGCAAAAAAATAAAATCTACTCTCCAATAAAACGAGAGCTTACCTCCAAGTGGCGATTCTTAAAGGTTTCACTCTCTATATTTCTCTCTCCCTGGCCTGCAGACGATGTAACCAGATGAAGCAAGGCTTGATTGACGGAAAATAATGATTGACGTTAGCGGGCGTCCCGTAGACAAATGGTTAATGTTAATCTGCCGGCGCTAAGTGGGAGTGTCTTCCTATTATTTTAGCTGTGGCTTGATCGATGTAAACCATTCAACTAAGGATCAGCTTCGCTCCCATTCAGTTGCCATGTGGCTGTTCTGTTGCATTAAGGAGAGGGGGGAATTTGGGGACATGGATTTTCAGGACCTTTTTTGAAATACTCGACACCTTTTCTTTGCACTGTCTTTCTGGAGAGGGAGAGAGAGAGAATACATAACAACCGGAGGCAGAGGGATTACACACTGCGGGACAGGAGTTTCAGAACCCCCGCCCCCTCTCTATCTCACCCCCACCCCCACCTCCCTCCCTCCAGCCTGCAGTAGAATAACGGGGAGCAGGAGCCGTGACTCCGACATGTTCCCACCTTATGTCTCCCCCGCAACAACTTTTATTATCTGACAACTGGAACGCACGATTGTGTTCAGATTGAACAGACATAGAGGGTAAAGTTCATTTTCTGTATTTCTCGCTGGTTGTGTTTGTGTTACTGTGAGTGTAAAGGTGTGGGGGGGGGCGATGTGAGTGTGCGTTATTGTGAGTGTAAATGTGTGTATGTGACTGTGATTGGACTAATTGTGTGTTATCGTGAGTGTAAAGGTGTGTGAATGTGAAAGTGTGTGTGTGTGAAAGTGTTGTGTAGAGGCGTGAGTGTGAACGTGTGAGTGTGAGTACATGCGTTTGATGACTGTCCCATTCTGTCTATAAGTTGCGTAGTTCCTGGTGTATTCAGTATAATTACACTTAATGCTGCGATTCGCTAGGCAAGCCCGTTTTACTGTTTCTATCGTGTCAGGTTTAAAGTTATCTTTCAATGTAGTCCTTTTAGAACGGCAAAAGGGTTTTAGGCCTTTTTCCGTACATTTTTTTTCAAGTCTTTAGTCAAAAATGTTTTACCAGCAGCAGTGGTGATCTATATTGTAGGAAGTAGTTCTGATTTATCCCCATTCATTTTTCTGATCCGGGCTAGCAGTGTGATGTAAATACTAATTGACCGTATCCATCCTTATTGTAAAATCGCTGGAGTACTTAAACGCCGTTGCTTATCTTGTCCGTATCTCGGTTTTGGATTAAATACCATACAGCTGGATGAGATCTCCGAAGGATTATCGGGCAGCGGGAGCGAGCTAAATTTATTGAAAGCGCGTTTAAAAAAAAAATCTTGATTCGGACATTGCGATTGTCTGTACGGCTCAAAGTCGCGTTTCTTTTCTCTGCATCACAGAATAAATCTGTCCCTCAACACTGAGCTTCATCTTGAAACCCGAAGTGACGCAGAGCAGGTAGGAATTAACAATAAACTAAATGAAGATTCTGAAATGACAGCCCTTGGTCGCCGTGTTGACTAACACACCAGGTTTTGGACAGGAACTCTGACACTGATATTTTTAGATCTAATGGGATATTAAAATCAGAGGGACGGAAGCTTCAGCAACAGTGAAAACTGTTTCCCGAAAGAAATATCACCGGGTTACGCTTTTAATTTGGGAAGAACCTTCTAGGCAGAAGGAGTAACTTGTGCCTGGGTCCAAATCGCTGAAATTCCTCTGAAATTTCCCACGAAATAATATCATCTTGTTGTGAAAACATTGTAAATTTTGAGATTATTCCTCGCCGTTAATTGGAAAAAAATGCATTCAAAAATTTTGATTGGGACATAAATTTTTAATAATTAGGTTTTTTTTCCCCAAGACTGGAGTGTTGAGATATTTATAAATGGGGAATCTCGTTATTTTAGATCGGAAATATTTCTCTCAATTATCCCAGAGGATGATGAATTATTGTAATTAATGTTTCCAAATGATTAGCGCAATTTCCTGTTTAACCGATTGTATAAAATGACGATTCGTTTTGCATTTGGAAAAGGAATATATATTTGATATAGAATTGTTGTTTTTCTGCTGATTTCTCGACAGAAGCTCCGGCATGGAGAAGATTTCTACCCAGCTGGGAGTAATAAACGACGCCGCTTCCACGCCGAACTCTAAACAGGAATTGCAACCTTACAGCCAGAGAGAGCAGACGGGCTCCAGTAGCCTGAAAGCCAACACCATCGGGGAGGCCGTTCTGTACGGGCTACCCATCGTCTCCTTGGTGATTGACGGCCAGGAGAGACTGTGCCTGGCCCAGATCTCCAACACCCTGCTGAAAAATTACAGCTACAACGAGATCCACAACCGCAGGGTGGCCCTGGGGATCACATGCGTCCAGTGCACCCCAGTCCAGCTGGAAATCCTGCGCAGGGCCGGGGCAATGCCTATCTCATCCCGGAGATGTGGCATGATCACCAAAAGAGAGGCGGAGAGGCTGTGTAAATCTTTCCTGGGCGAGCACACTCCGCCGAAGCTGCCTGAAAACTTTGCCTTCGATGTGTTTCACGAGTGCGCCTGGGGTTGTCGTGGTAACTTCATCCCAGCAAGGTACAACAGCTCTCGGGCCAAGTGCATCAAATGCAGCTATTGTAACATGTACTTTTCCCCAAATAAATTCATCTTCCATTCTCACAGAGTCGCGGACACTAAGTACACCCAGCCTGACGCCGCAAACTTCAACTCTTGGCGGAGACATCTCAAACTTTCAGACAAGGTTCCCTCTGAGTACCTGGCCCACGCCTGGGAAGATGTTAAGGCGATGTTCAACGGTGGCAGCCGCAAGAGAACCCTCCCGAACCACGGCTCCAGTGCCTCGGCCTCGCTGAAAGCCCCCGGGGCCAGCTCCCTACCCCCCCGGGGCTCTGACATCCCCCACAAAGCGCTGAGGTGTGAGGATGAGGGGCGCAGCCTGAATCTGGCCAACAACGTCAGGAGTTACCCGGTCATCCCGGTGCCCAGTAAAAGCTTCGGGATGCTGCAGAAAATGCCCCCACCCATCTTCCCGCACCCCTACGGCTTCCCCACCTTCGGGCTGTGTCAGAAAAAGGACGACACCAACGTGGTAGGGGACAAGACTCAGGGGGGTTTGCCCAGTATGTTCTGGTCCAGCGCCAAGGACACGGTCTACCCATCTTTCCCCATGTTTTGGCCAGCGGCTGGCACTCTGCCGGTGCCACCGTACCCACAGAGCCAGCCCAAGGTGTCCGACACCTCCAACGGGCGGCAGAGTGAGATGGATGTGTCCGAGCAGAGTGATCGAAGCAGCAACACCCCTAAGGACAGCCTGGCTGACAGTGAGAGGTGTTCCAGCACCCACTCCCGCAATGAGGAGGACCGCTCGGGGGATGAGGCCCGCTCCGTCGAAGGCATCCCCCTGACGCCTCGGAAACTCAACTACATCTCGGCGTTCCGGCCAGTCGTGAAGGACGCGGAGAGTATTGCCAAACTGTACGGGAACCGGGAGGTTTATAACGGAGCCCGGCCTGGTTACGTGTCACCGGACTTCATGAGTGATAATTCCAGCTACAGGTCTGTGTCTCCCGAGGTGGACAGCGACGGAGAAGAGCCTGAGGTCGATGTCGAGTCTAATAGATGTCCGGAGGATGAAGCCTCTCTACAGCTGGTGGAAACCATCCCAGAGGCAGAGATAGTCCCAGACAGAGAGGTCCCTGCTCAGCCTGAACCCGCACAAGACATCTCCACCAGAGAGAGCCTCGCAAGCCCTTTTGGGGTTCAAGGCTCCGAGAAAGTCAGAGAGGGCGAGGCTTCTGGGGAGCAGAAAGGCCACGAGGTAACGGGTTCTCCCCCTCACCCCTGCCCTCCCGCACACCCTCACCCTCCCTCTCTCACCCTCACAGCCTCTTCCCCCCCTCCATCACCCCCCCAACCCAAAAAATTCTCCTCCTGACCCTGCAACCGAGAAAGGCTGCACCAGGTGTAACTTTGCTCAGTCTGGCCAGAGAGAAAACTGGCCAATCTGCAGAAAGACATGGCAAAAATGAACGGATACGTTTGGAATATTTTAGCAATTTTAAACTGAGGCCGCCTCAGAAAAAAAACACCAAAGAGAAGGCTGGCACATGGCGTTGCCGCAATGACACCTGAAAATTAGCATCCAGCCACATTTAAATAAAAGTAATTAAGCAAATTATCAGAAGCTATTTGATGCTGTGAAATTAGGCGGGAGCTGTGTGAGAGTCTGGAAGCGCCAATAGGCGCTTGCCGTACCCAGCCGCAATCTCATCTCAATCATTTCAAGTATCCATAATTGCATTTAATAAAGCAAATGCACAGAAATAGAGATCAGTACCTCCTCGAGGTTTGGGGAAGACTGTCTTTAAATCTAGAGGAGTTTTAATCCGGGGAAGGGGGTGTTTATGTTCAAAGAGATGGAAACAAACTCGGAGTTTCACCTGTTAAATGAAAGACATTCGCGTGGACGGGACTGTGGGGAAAGTTGGGGGCTCACTTTAGGAGATTGTGTCTTTGCAGGGAACAGTGGGTACAGTTCCTTATTTCTTCCTCTTTTTGCAGGTGTTTCCACACGACCGGGAGAGTCAGTTGAACAATGTGAAAAATACTTGCAACACGGCTCCTGCGCCCATTTACACAGACACGGCACTTGGTAAAAGCAAGCTCCTCTCTCAATAACCTGTCCAGCCGCCCCCAACAGAGATGCAAAACTTTCCTGAACGCTAATTCGAATTTAGTCATCCATAAACCGGTATAAAGTAACAAGAATGAAAGGAACTTAAAGAAAATAAGGCCGGGGTGTAGTTTTTTGAGTCGGAGCTAATTCTGGGAGTTTCGGGCTTAAGGCCCGTATATTCCTGAAAGTGGAAGAACATTCACTGGGAACTTTCAAAGGGGGAAGTGGATACATGCTTAAAGAGGAAGTTTTTGCAGGTTGTGGAGAGAGATCAGGGTATTAGGACTAAATTGGGTAGTTCTCAAAGAACCAGTACAGACCCGACAGGACGAATGGCCTCATTCTATGCTGTCAGATTTGTATTTGCCCTTGACGGAATGAAGCAATCGACATTTTTAATTAAATGTTGCGGTTAATATTGAATAACTAAGACACTCCGTGGTGCTGCAGACTCTATGATTTTCATTGCACAGAGCAGTTTCAGTTCCTGCTAACTATGGGCAGTCACAGGGGCTACTCCTCCGGCTTGGTGGTTATTAGGGCCTGCAATTAGGAGATGAAGTCGGTTTCTCACACTGAAACTCGGATTTGTTGTGTTTCCAAGAGCAAGACCAGGAGACCCAGGGCACGGCGGAGGACCCCGAGCCCAGAATATCCTATCAGCAACAAGGCGGCGTCTCCCAGGACAACTCAGCGAATACAGAGCGGGGTGAGCGCTTTCTGTTTGGGGATCAACAATCATTCAGGAAACAGGTTGATGAACTGAAGTTAACTCAAGCCAGAGCAAGTTAGATGTTTCCTCTTTTAACGAAAGTTTATATTTACGTGTTTTAAAAGTGCAAAAAAACTATCAAAATATTAATATTGACGAGCAGGTCAGATCTTACAGTGCACATTGAATACACAGTGACACTAAATATATCAGCCATGCTTGACATAATCTGCATCTTCACTAGTTTGTAGGCAAATTATTTACCATTTTTTGGAAGCTGTAGGAATGGGGGATATTATTGCTGTTGAATTTCTTGATTTGGCTCGTTTTAATTTTCGAGTTCCTTAGAGCTATCCAGCCAAATTATTTATTGTTAAGAGACGCAAACTGACTTCAGATTCACCCACCTCATGGTTTCCGACCGCACACAACATCCCACTCTCACCGGTGAGCTCAGAAACATTCCCAGAAACTCTGTGGCGATGCTCTTATACAGCAAGGCTCTGGGTCAATTTCAGAATGCTCAGTTCTCCCTGCTGGATGGACCTGACAATGCTTGTCTGTGTTTATGTTCAGGCGAAGATGGCATTAGACTGGAAACCCCGAGAACCCAATTGGTCGAAAAAGACATTGAGAACATGGGGAAAGGTCTGGATTCTGACTTTCTACGAATATTAGAGAAACCAAAAGCTCGGGTAGATTCTATCAATGGCACCTTGACATTCTGTTAATTTACACTCATCGGAAAAGTAACATTTGCTGCGACAATATGTCAATGATTGAAAATCAAGCTTTTTTTTAAAAAAAGCGTTTATTGTTGTGAACTATTTCGTTCATTTAAACATCTGTTACCCTTTTCTGTCGAACTATTCAAAATGTAATTGACTTTTGAAGTTGGGATTCGAGTTTAAGGAAAGATCGACTTTACAGAATTGGGTTAAACCCCCTGTGGGGCCTGTATAGAATGAAGCAATTGCTGAGACTGGATGTACAGATTTGTTCAATTTATCGAGTTAAATTTAGTTTGACAACATTTTATTTTTCATGTAAATGTGGAATGATTACTGTACCCCTAGCTCATCTCCAACAGAGTTATAATCTCAAATGTTTACTGTGTTTTTAACAGTTTTCTCTGATGACGATTGATTTTCCAATTACTGTACGAGTTGAGTTAGGTGTAGGTACTTGTTTGATAACTAGCGAATTACACATAAACGATGTTAAATTGGTGATTACAATGTAGAGTAACCGATCTGACCCGGTCTCTTGTCAATTCACATTGGTGTTCGGTTTTGTAAATCGCTGCTGTCACATTTTTGCTACATCTCTCTCGAGTTTGTGGTTCAAGCAGGCTGAAATGTAATTAAGCATCATTAATGCGGCTGTGCGCACCCTGGATGAATTAAGAAGTGATGTCGTTTTTGTAATAGTTGGCAAGCGATGGTGAAAGTGTGGGGAGCCCACCGTGAATAAAAGCTGCAGTAGGCATGAGGTTACAGAGAATCGTGAGGTGTTGGCACTGGTCAATCAGTAAGGCTGTTCATGAGAATACCAGCAGGTAGTGTAGCTGATTAAACACAGGAGCACTGTTTTAACGTTCACGACCAGGTACAGCCCATTGAAAGCGCTCAGCTGAAGAGAAACTTCATTCAGAATGAAAACTGGTAACTATTCGGTTGTCCTCGCAAGGTAAACATCTTGAGTACCAGATTGAAAAACACCTTTCATTTTAATGGCGCATGCAATGCCCCCTCACACAATCTTACAGCAGATCTCTGTGCAAAGCTGGAAGCAGGCTTCTTTATAAATCCTTACAGTAGGTTCTGCATAAACTCTTACAGCAGGTTCCTGTTTAAAGCTGAAAGCAGGTTTCTGTACAAATCTGGAAGCAGATTTCTATATAAATCTGGAAGCAAGTTAAGAGCCCACACTCTCTATTCATATTTCAGAAGAGTTACAAAAACTACTTTTGGAACAGATGGAGCTCAGGAAGAAATTAGAACGGGAATTTCAGAGTCTAAAAGGTATGTCACACCCACATGGTTGCGGGGGGGGGGGCGCTGGTGCGGGTGGTGGTGGAGGGGTACATCATCATACATGAATGTCAACTGTTTGCTTCATACAGTGTAATAGGTATAAATACCACTCCCCAAACCCCGATGGATAGACCCCTTGTGATTTCAACTTAATAACACATTTCTCGTCCTGTAGAAAAACAGCTGTGGGTAATAGTGTATTTAATAACCAAATGCTTCGAGAAAGTGATCTAAACGCAATTAAACTACAAATACAGTTCCAGCCTCTTTACTTTCAATAGTTCTATTGAGTTATACAGAGACCAAAAATAGGACAGTATTTGGGTGAGAAAGAAGGGAATTGCTGATATTTGCAACTACATGAGCGGGAAGAGATAATCTTCATTAATTGGGATTAAACCCAATAGACAAGGGAAGTGAATCTTTTGAAATAAATCTATTCTAGCTGGAACAAAAAAGTGTGTCAATAAATATTCACTTGAAATCTGCCCTACTTTTCTACAGACAGTTTTCAGGATCAAATGAAGAGGGAATTGGCCTACAGAGAGGAAATGGTTCAGCAACTCCAAATCGTTAGAGGTAAAATGCAATCACGTGTCGGTGTTTATAGGAATGAAGTGAACATTCTCCAGTAAGCATTTCATTGAGTGCATTAAAACCATTTATAGTTAAATTATTTTTCAATAATTCCAATTGTAATAGCACTGACCTTTTCATGTGTTACCGTGGAACGTGCCCTTGCCTTTCAGTACAGGCTGATTAGCCTCTGCATGTGAATCCTATGTACAAACGGCTGGAAGGCATCATTACAAATAAATGATTGAATTTTTCTTCCAGTGCAATTTTCATGGTGTCTAAATTAAAAATCGAGGCGTAAAATTACCTGTGAAGTAGTGCCTAACTTTGGTTTAATTTTCAACTGGTTTTCAGCTTGCCTTCCAGCATAATCCACCTCTTTGGCACAGAACATTTGGCCGTACCTCGGATTTTTGTGTGATTTTTCTCTGTTCACCTGGAACTGATTCGAGTTTGCAAGGTAGATGAATGAGACAGAGAGAGAGAGAGAGCAGGGAAATGCATACAAGCTGTTTTATTTTAAATCGAGACTTGCTGAAGTTCTCTTAGTTTTTTTTTCAAGCGTCTGTCTGCTGCTTTTCTCAGTGATGGCCTCATTTGCTTTTGACAGACACGCTCTGCAATGAGCTGGATCAAGAGAGGAAGGCGCGTTACGCCATCCAACAAAAGCTGAAAGGTAATGATTTCATCGCCATGTTCTGAATGACACCGTCCATATATATGGGGGTGACAATAGACTAGATCACAATTCTTAGCCTAGCAGAAAAGGGTCTCAGGTGGACTAGAGAATGAGGAGCTGGAGAAAGAATTGAGGGGAAAAAGCGATATTAAAATAAAGAATGGATAATGCAAAGGAACCAGATGAGAAAAGAAACGAGTTAAATAAAAGATGAATATGGTAAAAGCAGATAGAATACCGAATGGGAGGCAAAGATCTGATCAGTTTTAGGTGGGAAATCATTGAAAAGAAAGGAAGACAGAGTATAATCATTATAACCTTTTTATGGTGGAGGAGACCAGGACAATATGTTTTATCGTAGCGACTTGTGATCTGGAGTGCGCTGTCGAAATGGTAATATAAGCTGGTCCAATAATAACTTTCAAAGGAGATTCAGACAAACAACTGAACGGGAAATCATAGCAGAGCCTGGGGAAAGGTTAGGGAGTGGGACTAATTGGAGAGTTCTTTCAAAAAGCGGACACAGGCAGAATGGGTCCAATGGCTTGCTCCTGCACTGTAATATTCGTGGTTTTAAAAGAACATTTAGTAACATCATAAATATTGATTAAGTGCAAACATCGAGTCAATGCCGATGAGAACGATGTTACAGATACAGATGGCTATTATCTAATCATCCCTCTGTTACATCCCAACTCTCTGCACCCAGAAGCACACGACGCCCTGCACCATTTCTCGTGTAAGATGCTGACCCCTCGACATTGCACTGGCAACTGTTCCTTCAAACCTCCGCTGCTCCCGCAGTGACAAACCAGCCCGTTAACACAACAGCACAAAGCGACGTTCTAAATGATCCTTAGGACTGTAAATAATAATTTAAAATTAAAGGTTTTTAACAAGAGGCGCAAACCAGGATATAGGGAAAGCCAAACCACTAACAACCAGGAGGGGCCCGTGTGCCAGCACTAGTCCGCGGAGATTGTGAATATAAATTCAAGGACTAATAAGCACGAAATTTTGTATATGAAAAGTGAATAGATGACCTCAGGGTCACTGTTACAGACCTACCTGTCTGAATTAATGTCCACTTATTTAAAAATATTGTTGATAAGAAATAAGTGGTTATGTGCAATTTATCTTTCTGTAATGTGATTTCGTTCGTACAGTATTTAATGGTTGTAATTTACTGATTTATTTATTACTTATTTGCCTTTCTCAGCCCGAAAATCTAATGGGGGACAAAATTACCTTTGTATATTATCGATGTTATTAAAAAAGCACTTTAAGAGGTAATTCAGTGTGTAAAGATTCCGTTTGGAAATCTGTTAAAGTGATTTTGTTCTTAAAATAAAGTCGGCCTTAAACCGTTTTCATGACTGGGATTATTTCAATTGTCCTTGGGGTGTCACCAAGTGTCGGGGATAGTGGAACAACACTGTCCTAGGATTTCAGCTTCCATGTGGGCTTTCTCACTTTCAAAACCTCCAGGAGTCCTGAGGGGAGGTTGCAGTCTGTGGTTCCCCAAAATGTTTAATTCTGAGGAGTTAAGGGTTTGAGGTGCTGAGGTGAATTTCGATTACAACACTAGGAGGAAGGGATGCGAGCGGATTATTTGGAGGTTTCTTATTGACCATCAATCAAAGTAAGATTTTACATGTACGTTTGCCACATTCTCCCAGGATGTTACATCGATGATGTCTACATTTCCTTCCACGCTGACTTGTCACTCACTCTCCTCCTTTTCTATGATTTCTCTTGCTCTCACTGGGGACCGGGATTTCAAGTATTACACATTTAAAGATCAGAGTTGATTTGAAATTAGCCCGGCCAGAAATAAAACCTGTGTATTTTGAGCAGCTTTGGTTGTGGATTAAATAATCACAAGAGTAAACGGAGCCAAGATGACTGCGGTCACCATGGGCTATCACTACACTCTTTGTGCAGACATGGGGAGAAAGCTCATGGGTTGCTTAATCGGAAACCGGGGGCCGGGGACTGGCGTAAGGGGCGAAGGGTGGGGGTTGGGGTGCTGGTGTCAGGCGTTAACAATTTCGTTAGTGACTCGTGAAGGAAACAACTTTTGGTTAAACGTTTGTGGCACAGGGTGATCCACCGAATCAGCATTTCAAAAACTCCCAATTCACAACATTAAAATACACCGCTCGTAACATTAGCAGCAATCCATTTTCTGTTGGATTTAGGACGCGAAGTGAGTGGGAACACGGAAACAAGTTCTCTCGCAGGGTGACAAACAAAACCTTGGACTGACAGACAGAAAGCATCGCGTAGACTACAGCCCGAAATGGAAAAGTATTTACTTTTTTTGCATAATTACTAGTTTCTTTTAAATACTAGATATTGTTGAGGAAGTTGCGAGGAGAGATGCTGAGCTTCGAGAAATTACTAGCACAGAGCAAAAACCGGCCCGGGATATGTTCTCAAAGGAATGTCTCACGTGTGCACAGGAACTTAAAGGACAACATTCTGGCATGTAACGGTATACTGATTCGGTATATTGTATATAATATATATATACTGTAGAATGTACATATATAGTATATATATACAATATGCACTATGTATAGACTCTGTATACTGTATATGTATATACACTGTATAATGTATGTATATAGGCTGCATATTGTACGTGTATTTACTGTATATATATATATTTACAATGTATAATATATGTGTAGACACTGCATACTGTATGCGTATACTGTATAATGTATGTATAAAGGTTGTACACTGTATAATGCATATACACTGTATAATACATTATATACACAATTATACATTATGCGCTGTGTAATGTATAAAATTTTACAGACTAGTGTTAGTCGCTCATGAAGAACTAAAATTATAATTGTTCGGGAGTAGTTGAGGGCTAGTGGGGGAACTGAAGAAAACTAACTAGATAAAATCTATTGTTGCACTTTTTTTTTCAACAAGCGTGCTGAATATTTTGCCCTTCTCCGGGGTTTCTCTACTTCGCTGAATGTTAACTGCGGGCTTGTAGTTTATATTCATTGGGAGGAATTTTTCCCAAACAAGCCTGAAAAAAACTGCATCGAATGGAGAATGGAAAATGACAAATCATCCGGGAGATTAACGCCAAACTACGGCTTCATGGAGCTCCACTTTAGGTTCCCTATTCGAGGGAGACTTCAAAAGAGGCAGTAAAATCTCCTGGGTATCTTGAAGGATTCTGTGAAACTATTTCAAATCCTGATCCGATGCCCTCTGTCTCGTGGAAGGTCTGTGGCCTATTATTGTACAGACATGTGCAGGTCATTTTTACTGGATTCACGAACGCAGTAGAATTTCAAGGTGTATGGTTTTGGGGGCGGATTAATAACCTAAATCTGTTCTTTTGGTCGGCGTTTTCCCCATTTTGACTTTTTTTTGGTATTGGTTCAAGAACATTAACACCGAAAAACAAACACGTTTCACACAAGTTGAAACGGAAGGTGGTGAACATTAATTATTATTCTCCCAGTTCTTGTGTTGCTAACATTGCTGAGCCTTTTCCCAGAACATAAACCACTCTCAACTATGAGCTTACCCTTTTGAACTGACAGTACTTGTGTTTGGAGATTTCTGGGCTGCACTCACCGTTTCCAATCTCAGCCATTGAGATTCCAAACCTAATGTTGGCCTTTTTCTGCCCATTTAAGATCCACGTTGCTATTGGAAACAGGGGAGTAACTAACGACTCAATCAAAGAGTTGGGGCGACACGGTGGCTCAGTGGTTAGTACGGCTGCCTCATAGTGACTCGGGATCGATTCCACCCTCTGTGTGGAGTTTGTAAATTGTCTGCGTGGGTTTCCGCCGCGTACCCCGGTTTCGTCCCACTGTCCAAAGATGTGCAGGTTAGGTGGATTGGCTATGCTAAAGTGTCCCTAGTGTCTAGGGTGGGAAATGGAGGGATAGGGCAAGGGGTGGGATGCTGTTCGGAGGGCCGGCGTGGACTCCGTTATCTGAATCGCCTGCTTCCACACCGTAGGGATTCTATCAACAGCACCGTGTCTGTGTGGGATCTACCTGTGCATTATTTGGTTACCCACAATACAGCCACTTTTAGACAGTTGTGTTGAGAAAGTGAAAGGTGCTACCTAAATTCTTATTTAAAGAAACAAAACAGGAAAATATTGCAGTGCAAGCTCCTAACGGGAGAAACTACCCAGTGGGCTACCAGTAATCACTTCACATCTTGGTATGAAATAATCTGGTCTTTCAGTTAACCTATTTCTAACCAATTAGTTAGTGGCGGTGTGGCCAACTCCAATTGCATCCAACTCCCTTTGGTCATGGGCTTCAATCCCATAATTACCAACAAGCAGACAACCTAAAGCACTGTTCACAATGAAATGTTAAACGTGCACACGGTGCAACTTGCATGCCACAGTCATTGGCTCACTGTAACAGCCTGTATTTACGCTAAGTTTGTAACCCGACCCCAAGGTACGATTTAGTGGCTGGCAGTCCAGAGATAATCAAATGTAACTAATCAGCACATCTGCTTGGTTAGAAAAAGTTCATTTTATTTTTGTGCTTTCAGTTATTACTTTCATCAGCTGAAGACACTAATTCACTATTTGTGGACAACCTCTTGTGTCCTATTGCCACCAAGTCCTGTTCACCATTAATCTGTCCTCACTGATTTCCACAAGTTCCAGTTAACAACATCTCCATTTTAAAATTCTCAACCTAGTTTACAAATTCCTCCATGTCCTCATGCTTTCCTGTTCCTGTACCTTCTTCCAGATCCACAACACTCTGCCCTCCCACATTCTCAGTTTAACTCACCCCACATTGGGTAGTCATGCATTCAGCTGCCTGGGGCCTAAGTTCTGAAATTTCCTCCCTACTCTCTCCATCTTTCTACCCAACTTTCTTCTTTTAATACAAGAACATGAGAAATAAGAGCTAGAGGAGGCCATTCAGCCCATTGAATCTGCCCCACTCTTCACTATGATCATGGCTGATCTTGGGCTTTGACTCCACTTTAATGCCTTCACTCTCCTGTGTGCTTTGATTCCCCAAGAGACCAAATATTTGTTTATCACAGTCTTAAGTAAATTCAACAACAGAGTCTCGACAATCCTCTGGGGCAGAGAATTCCAGAAATTCACAATGCTTTGTGTGAAGAAATCTCTCCTCATCTTCTGAAGCCCCGTCAGAATCTTACACATGTTAATGCGATCATCTCTTATTCTCTTAAACCCCAGAGAATATAGATCCAATTTATTCAGCCTCTTATCACAGGACAACGGTCTCATCTCAGGGAGTAATTTAATGAACCTTCACTGCACCACCTCCAATGCAAGTATGTATTTTCTTGAATATGGAGGACAAAACTGCAGACAGTTTTTCAGATGTGATCTCACCAAAATCCTGCACATTTGTAACATTATTATTGCTGCACTCCAATCCTCGGTTAATAAACTCCAACTATTTGTCTTCCTAATTGTTTAATTTAAACTGCTCCTCAAAATATACCTCTTTTACCAACCTCCTATGAAAGTGCAAATTGTTGGTAGTTTTACAGATATCTATAACTTCACATACATTGCCACTGGGCACCAGAAAAGAGCTCAACCAGACACAATACTTAGCCCCACCCCCTACCTCAACACAAATGCAGACTTTCTGACAGGGTAATTAGGTTGAATCCCTGATTAATAACTTGGTTGAACTTAGGGCGCTGAGGACAACTGTGCACCCTGAACTGCTCCTTCAACAAAGATCAGCTAAATCAGCATTGACTGGTGGACTCCATAATTTAGTACCTGGTATAATTGGCAAAAAAAAAATAATGGTTTATATTTATACTGTGTGCTAACACATTGTAAACACTTAAATTGCCTCACACAATAAATTGCTGAAGGCACAATCACTGCTGTTATGTGGGTGAGCATTATTGTACAGACAGAGTGGTGTAT